TGGAAATAAACCCATGTCACACAAAAACGAGTTAGTCTAGTATCATTTGATATTTGTGTAACTATCAATTTCACCATAACTTTTTATAATAGAATGTATGAAAACTTAGTTTTGGAAGCTCACCCTTAATGAGGTTTTAAAATTCAATATAGTTCGTTTTTGTTTAAGGGTTAATAACTTAGTATATTACTAAGAAATAAAACCAGCTGATAGGAAAAGTGTTTTGTATTATTGTTTTCTTGAACTTTTATATTTCCTTGGGATAATATTCGCTGGTGAAAGAAACCCAACACTACATACAACTTGGAGAATCTACGAGCATGATGATCAAAATAGCTTTAACAGGAGTAGAAAAAATAAAGTTGATCAAATAAAGAATATGGACAAAAGAACACGCTCGGACAATCATCACGAGATAACAAGACCTCATCTCTAACGATTATATAATATTCTATATGATTTTCTGTAATGAATTTTTAAAAAAAAAAGAAAAACAAGAAGGAAATGTTTTTAACATAATTATCATAATTTCTTCGCCAAATGGATCATATATTCGATACCGCTCGACTAATAATGGAGGCGAGAGCATATATAGTTCGAATTAGTTTATGTCAAATTGATTCTCGATTTAATTGTTAAGATGAAATCCAGAAACGAAAAGATCCCAAATAAATGATTTTAATACTTATACGGTTTAATTTTTAAAAATTTAGATTATAATCGGATCACAAAATACTTAGAAATGAAACTATCAATAAACTAAAATGTATAGAAAAAAAAATGTTGTAAAATTTTTTAGACAATATATAAAGAAATTTTTGGATGATTTGAATCCGGATTAACAAATTTTCTTTCTTTGGTGTTTAAGAAATTGATAAAAAGGCACATCATACCTACGTATTTTATTATACTAATTTAAATGTATAGTATTTTTTTAAGAAAAACGATTGATATATGTTGTTTTTTACCTTAATTAAATTATTTATACAATTATTCGTTTGAAAAATAAATATGAAATTGAATTAATCCTTCTTTTTTGTTTTTGCTCTTTTGAGGTACCCGTGATTAATCATGAGTCAAGCTCAATTTGGCCTCTTTCTCACTTTTTCTTTTGCATGTTGGGGCCTCCTTCAAACAAAGTTGTCGAAAATCATAAATAAGGCTACATTAATCTTCTTTATGTATCACTTAATCAATAATCCAATTTATATTTTTCTTTCACTTATGATTTCGTTACATCACTACGTACATGTTAGACAAAACGAATACGTTAAAAAAAGGTTTTTCCTTACATAATATAAACAGTGTACGTACGTGTGTGTCCACTGAATTCAATTAAATTAAATTAAATGTGGGAGAATGGAGATTTGAGCCACGGCAGACAAAGCTGTCTCCTTCAGATCAGCCTTGGAATATGAACAGTAAAAATAAATAAATAATTAAATTGAGTTACTGATTTACACATTTTCATTTCTCGACATGATCATAGGAAGTTGTAAAGTAATTAAAATTTTCTTCAACGGAACTAGTAGAATATAGCTTCGGGATATTAAAAAGCAGGAATTAAGGCTTTTTATTTTGAGATTTTTTTGGCTCAGACAAGAAAAATTGTCTACGTACGTTAAAACAACCATTGTATAAACTTAGGTTTTATAAATGTATTAGACTATTAGCTAATGTAACAGCATAATTACCGAACAAAGTGAAGTCCAATGTTCGGATTCTTTCCGGCAACAGTAGAAAAATCCAAATATATATTGCTCGGATTTTGAAAATGTCTTTTAACACTCACAGAGAACACTTCAGTTTCGAGATTCGAAAACTTTTTAACTCATATATCAATAATTTTCCATTTATTTTTATGTTTCTTTTTGTGATAAA